TAAGAAGACGCCCAAATGACCTTTTTAACCATTTGTTTTGCAACATTTTGGTTTTCCAGTAAAGACGATAAATATTGACATGGTGACAGACATTGATGGAGTAATGACGTCCTAAACAGCACTGCAAGGTACAGCACTGCAAGGTATTTGCCTCCTTCAGATGCTGAAGGAAGCAAAAAGCCTCCTTCAGAACCATCAGTTGTTTTAGTCTCCTAAAACTAAAACAAGTGTTTTAGTCTCCTAAAACTAAAACAAGTGTTTTAGTCTCCTAAAACTAAAACAAGTGTTTTAGTCTCCTAAAACTAAAACAAGTGTTTTAGTCTCCTAAAACTAAAACAAGTGTTTTAGTCTCCTAAAACTAAAACAAGAGTTTTAGTCTCCTAAAACTAAAACAAGTGTTTTAGTCTCCTAAAACTAAAACAAGTGTTTTAGTCTCCTAAAACTAAAACAAGTGTTTTAGTCTCCTAAAACAACATCAACAACCCTGAGATGGTCTGGAAATGACTAGAAGATTCGTGGCTGTAATGATGGAAGAGAGTTTCTGTAAGTTGACAGGATAAAATTGAATCAGATGAGCCACTATGAGAAGAACAAAAAGCAGAAGAGGATGATCGATCAAAACATGCTTCACTGCTGAGAGGGATATGTCTTACAACTTTGTCAAAGCTACTATGTAAAAAATTGTTTCACAACTAGAGGTGTCCTAGCTATTTATTGACTAATATTTAAGAACCTTGAAAAGTTCACCAGACTGCTCTTCAAAAGGCAACGCACCTTGAAATTTGGGCCCACAGCACGTCTCATTGACAGCATTTTTAGAATCACTTTGTTTCAGTGTATGAAGACACGAACAAGCAACATTTAGCACCGGAAACAGGAAGCTCTGTCATCTTGTGCCACCACAGCGTTTCACTCCTGCGCGTCAGCAGAGAATTACTCTGTTCCTTCACGCTTTCAGAAGCCGCTTAGGCCTCTCTTCTCTACTAAAACACACACCGCCGGCACAAGTAGTTACAGATACACGCTTAATACAGAACATGTAACACATTTTGAAGATGTTGGCTTTATACGGATTTTGAAACATTGAATATTTGCAAAGAACTGCATCATATTCATGGCATAAACTGCCTCTTAGATTCGGACTTGTTCCCTGTCTGCAGCAGGGTTCCAGTGTTGTCATAACATGCTTGACTTTTAATGCAGAGCAATACAGGTAATGTTTATGAAATGCATACCTGATGGAATCAGTAAAGAGCAAACATGGAAAAAGAAAACTGAAATGAAATGGATGGGTCAGTGTGCCAGAATAGGCTGGCCCCCTGGATGCATTGATCTTTCGGCTCAAAGCTTGGATTCTTCTTCAATATTGGAACTCTCCCAAAGTGAGCTGAAACACAGAGCTTGATGATATCTGAATCTGCTGTCAGTTTTGATCCTTATTTATACTGTGTAGACGGATGAGTCAGTATCTCTCACAGCTGTGATGCACACACTGTACTATTAGGATATAAATACTACAAATATGCAGTTTCTTTTTTTTCTTTTTTTTTTGGTGTGTTAGAGTAAGATTTCTGTTAGCTAGTTCATCAGTCCATTGTCAATCAAATTTTTGAATGTTTGCACTAAACGAATACTGAACCATACATGTGTTTCACTAGGAACATTCAGTACCTTGTAAAAGTAGTCACACCTCTTACATTTTTCTTTTAATTAGTTTTGACTAATTAATTAGTTAGATTTTAAGGCATACATTTTTTCATGCAATTAATTATTAAAATTCAATAGTCCAGGGCGGGAACCTTTGTATTTGCGTTTCTGATACGTCCCTAAATTTGATGCACAAGTGACATCTGCTAACAACATCGATGGACGACAAAGCCGCTTGTCTCAGCCCGTTGGGGGTTAATATTTGCTTTGATCTGATTGGTCACTGGAAAAGGCTATTTTTGTGCTCAACTTATCTAATAGGAATTAGCCTATCAGAGAAGCTTTTCAAGCCTAAAATAGTAGCTCAGTACTAAACATATAGCAGCTAGCACCCAATGCTAAAGTTAGCATCCATAGGCTGCCCTCTGCACCAATCAGCAACATTAAAATAATAAATATCTTTGTTGTTGAGCTAATTCAATAATTTAGCCGCAAAAATGTTTTTGAATTGAAAATATTGCTCATTTTGTCAAAATATGGTTTTCAATTGAAAATGGAAATAATTACAAGGCCTGCAACTAACTCCATCTTAAAAATGATCAAGTCCCACCACAAGTTACAACCAAAAGAAAGATCCTTCAAAAAATGAAGGACATTAGAGACAACACGCAGCCCTTTAAGAACCTGTCAGTCAGAGACTATTTCAGATTTACTGTAATACAGACTGCTACAGGAGATCCTTCCCACCCACAGCTGTCAGCATCCACAACAACTGTATGAGGAAAAGTGCACAATAAGAGCAAGGGAACGTAAACTTTCCCTTTAAGTTCTTTTTAATTGAGCTGAAGTGAACTGAGAAACCTGTTTGGGGTTTTCTGTGAGAGATCAGCACAAACGTAGTACATAATTGTGAAGTGAAAGGAAAATGGAAAAGAAAACACAAATCCAAAAAGCTGATGTGCATATGCCTTCAGCCCCTGTTAGTCTGACACCCCAAAATAAAATTTGGTGCCATCAGTTGACTTTTGATGTCACTTATCAACTGAATAGAGCTCACTTGTGTGTCAGTGAATCTCAGCGTAAATCCAGTTGTTCTGTGAAGGCGGCAGAGGTCTATCAGAGAGCAATAGTGAACGAAGAGCACTGAAAAAGCAAATATTTTTTCTGAAAAAAAAAAAAAACAGCTGTTGAAACAAAGCCATGACAATATCTTGTTTACAGTTTGCAATGCACCACTTAGGGAACCAGCGAGCATGTGGGGATGAAAGAGCTCTGGCACAATCTCTATGATTGTGCAATGTTTCTTTTTTTGTGTGATTTTTGCAGTTTAAAATAACTGATGTTCGGTCAAATTGGTGATTTTTATTTATTTTTGCTTTATTTTTACAGCAACATGTTCTTGGAAAAAAGTTTAACTTGCTGCACACAACCTTCCCAAAAAAGACCAGACTTTAATCTAGTTGATAATTACAGTAAAAATGACATTTTCAGATATCTTCTTATAGCCTTAGTACAAAAAGAATCATGTCCTGAATGCAGAAGATCAATTTCATATTCCAAGTTAACATGAACTATACACCCAGTTTGCAAATCCTACAGAACATCTCTAAGTGGTTGTAGCAAAATCAAACAAAGAGGGAAAATGTTATAACGTTTAGCATCACAAGCTTTCATCTCGCAAGTTAGGTGTTCAAGAAGTGTCATGAAACAGGAAGTTAAATTACATTTGGGCAAATTACAATCGGACTAAGGGAAGTAGTCAAAATTCAGCAGAGTTTCAGTGATTGGTCAGAAAAAAGGGGAATACAGAAAACATTACAGGAATTGCTGGTCAGATTTGTGAAAAAGCTGTGACAATTGGTGGAAATTGCAGCAAATTTTGAGAATGACGAGTTTATTTGTGTTAATAATTGAGATTGCAACCTCCTGAAGGGAATCTCAAAAGCTAAACTTTCTGGTCTCAATTTAAATCATTGTGAGCAGGAAGACTTTAGTCTGAACACCATCCCTGAAATAAAACATGGTAGTGGCAGCATCATGCTGTTTGAACGCCTTCTTCAGGGTTTGATGACGAATGGAGCGAAATACAAGAAAAATCTGTTGGAGGTTGCCAAAGGTGATTCATTCGATTTTTTTATTTACTAGGCATCATTTTCCTTCTTCTTGCCAGTTATGCATTATTAGTCAGTCACATAAAATTCCAGTAAAACACGTATAGATTTGTTGTAGCAAAAAAAATGTGAAAGAAGGAGTTGTTTTTTTTCCCCCAAATGACCAAAGCTGTGCTGCAAACCCCTGATCCAAATTTGGGGACAAATAAAAATTCAACATCCTGAGCTTCCCGTTATGTCACAGATGCCACCACAACAGCTTGCAGGCTAACCACCACATGAAGGAAGTGGGGCAGCTCCCAATAAGTAACACATGATGCACTTCATGCGAGTGCAGGTTAAAAGAGGCACATGCAGCGCAACAAATGTGGCTCAAAAAAATAAATAAACAAAAAAGAGCTCGACACAAGGAGGAGGAGGAGGAGGAGGACGGGACGGTGTTAGCCTGCAACCTTTTTGCCTTGTTGCTCTTTCAGGTCAGGGATTTAAATCACAATAAGGTTGCTCATTATGATACACAGACCATTTGTAAGAAATCAAGGTGCACCATGATCTGACAACCAGGAGTTCTGTTGTAAATGAGCTAAAAAAGCAAAAACAAAACACACAAAGACAAAAAAAAACAACAAAAAAACAAGTAATTTTTTAAATCTTTCAATATTGTAGTGTTTCTCCTGATCGTCACTGTTGCAAGAGGGAAAGGCAGCGATTCGCAGCATGCATTGCTTATCTGCATCTTTTGATTGGATGCACAGTGTTGGTGATGAGGGCAGGGATTTAATGGGGAATTAAGAGCTCCTCAGAAAAAACAACAAAAACAACAAAACAGCAGCAGCAGCAGCAGCAGCAGCAGCAGCAGCAGCGTGTTGAGTTCTGTGTGCAGTTTTTGTTTGCTGTGAATGTGACCATATGGTTAAAGCAGTGTTCACACAAAGGCCACAGGAAACACCTCAGGATAATTACACAAGCATGTAAACACAGTCTGAAAATGGTGCACACGTATTACATAAGTGGTAAAAAAATTAATAAATAAAGTGAAAAATAGGGTGTATTTAGAAGGACTTTATTACAAATAAACATCTCTCACTCATACTCTGTGGATCACACACACACACACACACACACACACACACACACACACACACACACACACACACACACACACACACACACACACACACACACACACACACACACACACAGGTTGTTACCATAACCAAGCAGCATGACAGCTGTACATACCTTACTTTATGGTCCTCCTCTCCCTCTTTCTAGCTGTTCCTCTGCTCTTCTCTTCTCATCCCTTGTTTTTTTGTATCACACACTTACGCTTACACACACACGCACACACACACGCAGACAGGCAGGAAGGCAGGCGTGCTCACACAGAGCGGAGTGTGTTTGAATCTGACAGATTTCTCCCAGCTCAGTACTCTTCTCTCTCATTTCACACACACACACACACGCATGCACTCACACACAAACAGCCCTCCCCCTCCATCTTTCAAAATATGCCAGATCGCCTCTCCGCTCACGCCAGAGCAGCGTCTCTCCTCCCACTGCCGTCCGCATCAGCGAAAAGCCCCAACCCGAGCCCAGGCCACGCCCCCTCCCCTCTCCAGTCCCCCTCTCTCCTCTCCTCTCCTCTGGGCGGCTATAAATACCGCTGCTGCTATGAATACACCGTCTTTCTCCCTCAGCATCTCCCACTCTCCCTCCATCCATCCTTCCATCCATCCATCCCTCTTTTTATCCTTTCTTCCTTCCGTCCCGCGCCTGCGCTGCCGTTCCTCCATCTCTGCTCCAAAACCTGCTTTCCGAGGATGACCTTGTGTTTCCACAACAGCGAGATGCAAGTGATGGCCAAGGAGAAAGAAAGAGCGACGTTTCCCTGCAGACTTGGTTGTTTCTTCTTTTTTTCTTTTTGTTTTCGAGCCGCCAGTCTCCCCGGTTTCCTGTCTGTTACAGCGGATGTGTTCCTTTCTTTGAAAAAAAAAAAAAAAAAAAAATCTCCTGACAGCTGCACTTACAAATGTCATCATTTCTTGCTCAAAACATAATCCAATCTGTGCACATTATTAATAGTTGCCTGTGTTACAGCTGCTTTATAGCAACATAAGAATGTGGAAGCAAAATAATAATGAAAAACATAAACAAGTGCCAGTGTTCAGTGGATAGAACGTGAACTTTCAATGCAGTCAGCAGCAGCATCCTGTCTTCTGCTTCTAACCAGGGAATGAGGTTAACCCAACATCTGGTTACGTGCACCGAGGGCACACTTAAAACGAAATCAAATCTTCGCCTGCAGGGCCTTATGGCCTGGCACGGACATAATTAATCCTAGTGTTCATGCAGCGCCGTGGTGTAATAACTTCATACGTGAAACACGAGAGCAAGACAAAAGGCTTCTCTACCTGACCGGCAGGAGAGAAACATTTCTGCTGACATGCCCCTCTGATGCTGACAGACAGACAAGCCACAAGGCTGCCTGCACACAACCATATATGGATCTATGTCTCCATCTTCTATGTCTACTGAATTGAAGACATTGGTATTTCATCTGGCTGCACAGTGGAGCAGTTGGTAGCACTGTTGCCTTGCAGCAAGAAGCTCCTGAGTTCGATTCCCTTTCTGCATCAAGTTTGCATGTTCTCCCTGTGCATGCCTGGGTTCTGTCCAGGTACTCAGTCCAAAAACATGACTGTCAGGTTGATTGGTCTCTCTAAATTCTCCCTCGGTGTGAGTGAGTGTGTGTGTGTATAGTTGGTTGTCCTGTCTGTCTCTGTTGCCCAGACTGGCGACCTGTCCAGGGTGACCCCACCTCTCACCCGGAACGTTAACTGGAGACAAGCACCAGAACCTCTTCTGACCCCAATAGGGACAAGGTGTTAGAAAATGGATGGCTGGATGTATTTCAGCCCTATTATACTGAATCCCAACCTTTGTCACGTTTTATCACATTTAAATCACAAGCTTCAGTTTATTTGATTAGAGTTGTATGAAGTGGCATGCTGGGTTCTGCAGCGCAAGAAACTGTTCACTGGTTTTAGCTGTCAAGTTGTCAATACAAGGTGCTAAATCTTAAATGTGCATGTGATAGATTAAAGAAAAAGAGATGCAATGCTTTGCTGCAACTTAACACTACGAGAACTAGATAAGATCAGTAAAGGGGAACATCAACTTTCGGAAAAATGCACACATTCACATTCTGTTCTTGAACAAAATTATTCAAAGAAAAAAAAAAAAAACCTAACGGTCAGAAGTTTGATTAGATAGAGATAAATATTGGTATCGGTATTGGTATTGGCGACATGAGCCCTGAATTTACTTGGTATTGGATCGTTGGAGCACTGACTCTTCAACACATTTTGTTTCACTAGATTTTTATTCATAGCAATCTGTGAAAACCATATTCCTTTCTACTGTTCTGTTGGCCTTTTCACATGAAATCCCAACAGGATCACTGAATACTGTGGTGGCAACATGACTAAATCTGGAAAGGTCCAAAGAGTAGCAGTACTGCTATAAGGCACTTCATTAAAAAAAAAACAACAATCCTGTTCAAAGTTAAATCAAGAATATGTTACAAAAGAATGAGAAGACAGAAAGATTAAAAACCAGATACTGAATTTGTCTCCATAAATGGTAAAGGAAATGATGAAGTGTTGCTTAAAAGCTAACGCACTGAAAACCAATGATGAGTCATCGGTGTTTTGTGTGGGAGCAACTGCAAGTTTCAGGGTCAAACTGCTCAGATGAGGGTTTATGTCAGGATGTGCACATGCCGACATGCTTTAGGGTTGCTCTGTCAGTTTAAAGACCTCCTGCAGGTTCTGCGCAGACTCGGCCTGCGTCCTCTGGGAGCCCCTGAGAGCTTCCCGGAGGTCCCCAGGAGACACCAGGTGGAGGCGGAGCAGAGAGTTCATCAGCTGGGAGCGAGCAATGCCAATGAAAGAGTGCGACAAAAAGCATGAAAGGCCTCCGCCGGATTTTGTGGTGTAGAGAGGGACTCGAACCATTCCCAGCACCTGGATAGAGAGAGAAGAAGAGGAAGAATTGATGCAGCAGCTGAGCGCGGGATCCTGCAGGTCGTTTGCCGTTCATCGCTCGTTACCTCCAGACCGTGATCGGCTGCGGTTGAGGCGGCTGCTTTCTCTATCTCCCGAATCTGCTCCTCTTCTATCTTCTTCACGTAGAAGTGAAGGATGAGGCGGGAGGATGAGGGAAAGGTGCCTGAACGAGGAGGGCTAAAACAAGACTCCACGTGGTCCTCCATAGAAACTGGCACAGCCACGCCCAACTCCTCCAGTAATTCCCTGGTAAGCCCCTCCTCCAGGGTCTCCTCCGAGGGGTTAACGAAACTAAAGTGTCGAAAAAGTGAGGTCGAAATACAGTGTAGGTTATTAATGGAAGGTAATCAGACATAAAAACAATTTGAAAACAGGTTATTGCATCTTTACACTATTTCCTCAATCAGAAGACTTCTACAGTGTCTTCCAAGGCAGCAGTGCTGATAAGAAATATAGTCTTGCATTAGCTGTATACAAAGAAAACTTTAAATTCTGAATGTAAGCAAAGAACAATTCTGGTTCAAGTGGTGTACCCCAGAAAATCTGAGGTGCCAAAGAAGAAGAAGAAGCATGAGACACAACAAAACCGAGATGAAAGGATGTGCCGAAAGGCTGCATACATGGCTGAATATCTGGGAAAACAAATAACTTTTTATGCGTTTTGACCTTTCATTCGTACAAACACTGTTTAATATTACTAAAAGCAATTATTTCTTGAACCTCAGACCTCAGTGTGTTTTAGGCGAGGCCTTCAAATATATCCACTGATGAGCATCATGTTACCTCACGTGTCAGTGAGGGGTTCCCTTCCAGGTTCCTTTCCAAACATGGAAGGGAACCCAAAAGGTTTGACCTAAGTCATACAGTTTAAAGGTCAATTATCCCTCATACTGACCAAATGAATATCAAATTCTGAATTCTAAGAAAGTGGCAAACAAATCTCTAAAAATATTCTGACATTTAGCAAACAGGAATAAATTTGATCATTCTAACTGGCCTAAAACAAGAGAAGTTTAGTTCTTATTTGCAAACATCCGATTGTTTATATATATATTTTATATACCTCTCGAGATAATGTTGGGTTCCATAAATCTTCCTAAAACTTCATTAGTGTTCACTGAAAATTCATTAGTGACGTACATCTCAGCATCAAGGAAGTTCAAAGTGTTTTACATGATTAAAAAAAAAATAATCTGACATTAAAGTGAGAAAATAGGAAAAATATTTCTTGGTTTGTTACATAAAGTCAACATGTCGGTGAATGACGCACCAGCAACTCTGTCACTCCTGTAATTCACAGACAAAAGGACACAAGTGATTCACGTTTAGCTGAATATTAATCGGTTTGGTGAACAGTGTTTTAAAAAGGCTATAATAAGAACCTTCCTGTATGAAGGGACTCCTCATGCATGTCTGATTATCTTTATAGTTCATCTTTTGCTGCTTCAGTCTCCTAGAGACAATGTGTGAAAGTTACTGCTGTGCTGTGAAAGATTGATATCTTTATTATGTGGCGGCTGCTCATAAAGATGGGTTCGAATAAGCTAACTTGTTCACATTATATGAGGAAATCTAAAACTTACATTTGCTTTCCAATCTTCCTTTTTACTTTGTTTTTATACATTAAAAAACTTTGACTGGCCCAATCTATTGTATGAACTTAAGGGTGGGAATAGTAAATGGCTTTGTACTTGTATAGCACTTTATCAAGTGCAGAAGATCCCAAAGTGCTTCATGCAGCATTCATCCACGCTGATGTGGGCAAGCTACTAGATAGTAGCTTGCCAGACTGCCCCAGCTGCCCTGGGGCAGTCTGGCAGCTGCCATGCAGCTCCGCTTCTCCCCCCACAATGCAAGGTGAATGAAATGTCTTGGCCAGCAACTAAACGACAGATTGTGGGGTGAAGTCCTGCCACCGCACACAAACTGATAACACTTTTAGCTTCAGGTCAGTGCTACAGAGTAGAATTTGCAATAACCAGCTACCGGAGAGGCAGATCTTTCCCCCAGGCTGTCTCTCTAATGGACACCATCAACCACTTACAGCCGCATAGTCAGCTACTCTACTGTAAGACAAAATAAACATATCTGCACTCTCACAATCTGCCTTTCTTTTTTCCTTTCTTTATTAAAAAAAACAAAAAATCAACTACACAAACACATACATGTATGTACATGCTGTTCCTTTTACCCTTTATTTTATCTCTTCTAAAGTTGATATATTTATACTTTATGTCTATTTGCTGTGAGTGCTTGAAACCAGAGTCAAATTCCTCGTTTGTGAACATAATCAATACCAATGAAGCTGATTCTGATTCTTGTGGTCATTTCCAGTCCCCCGGTGAGCCGTGGATATCTGCAGCTCCTCTAGAGTCGTTCCGGTTTAACACAACAGATTGACAGGATGATTTATGCTCAGGTTAAATTAAGGAATTTATAAATAGCTATAGGTGAAACTCACCCACCAGGGAAGCCCAGCAGTCCATCAAAGCGCATCTGCATCTGTTGGATTTGACAAAGGCCTGTCAAATACTCATCATGTCCACTCAAAGAGAACATAGGGAAATGTGAGGAGGATTAGCTTAAAATGAGGGGATGTCAGTGTTTACATGTGATACAAGGAGCTCATTTTGGTAGGTGCACATGACCAAGGCTGTTAAAGAAAGTCACCACGCAAACTCTGCTCACCAGTACAATGTACCGGATGGGAATCCTGTCAAACAGCTGAGATGCCGTCTCAGAGTAGAGCATCACATGGCATGCATGCCTGCAGCGAGTGCATTCCAGAGCTTCATCCCTCGACATCTGGCCACTTGCCATCTACAACCACAAACAAAAAGAGAATTTTATCACATGCTGCCACAGGAGCAGTGACTCCTGATCACTGTGTTTTTAGTAAATTGCAAATCAAGAGAACTTACTTCTTTTTTAATTTGTTTCCCCTTCTTTCTGTGCTGGGCCAAAAGTCCTGACTGCCAGCAGCTGACCAGCCTGGAAAAACCTCTGTATTTAGCAGAAGTCATGGAAAGGAGGAACTAGGCAGGTGGCGTGGTTTTCTTTCTTGATACTAAGCACTTTGGCTCCCTCTATCTGTTTGGAGCAGGTTTATAATGCTCAGATTTTTCTTTTCTATTTTCTTTTTCAAATGATAGTTAATTTGTTTTGTTTTTGTGCATTGTACAATACACAAAAATATTCACATAAACCATTGTTTATGGAAATATAATTTCACAAGTACTACTTGTGAAATTAGTACTTTTACAAAAGCCGCATCTCATCCGTAAAGTTGAATAACTCAGCAAAGCAACGACCTAGAAGCGTAAATAATATATTTAATGGGCATCATTTCTACTTCAGAACGTATTCACTTTGTTACTTCATTAAAGTTGACAGTATGTTCTTTCATGCTGTAAATTATTCATTCTTCCACCAGGATGATAAATAACTGAGTTCCATAACTCTGCACTATACTTTGCACTCTGCACATCCACTTTAGCTGAACAGATGAAATCAAATATTTTTGATGATTGAACTGAAAATATTAATATTAATTTACTTGTCTGTTTGCTGAATTTCAGAATAATGAGTTTCAGCAAACAGGTTTGCTGCAATCTGGTTCGGGTTTGGACTACATCTTAGTAAAATCTGAATTTTAAGAAAGTGGTGAAAACAACTTTCTAGAAAGTATATTAGCATCATTATTGTGACATTTAACAATTAGAAATTATTCTGATCATCCCAGCCCAAAACAGGAGATCCTTAGTTAGTCAAAGGAGACATGAGTGTTTTTATGCATTGTATGCAAATATTTGCTTGTGCTTTTATTTGTGTAACTATTGGAAGAGTGGAAATACAATTAATACCGCACCGAAAATGAGTCACTTACGTCACACGTAACCGACTTCTTTTATAATGGAGCCCAAGCAAAACTGCTGTCTCACCTTTAGGCAGCAATATTTAGCCGAACGTTACACTTTACACTATTTTGGTTGCGTCAACACTTGATTGGTTGTTCAGTTTTACGTTGACCCATCGCCATTGGCTAGTGGAAAGTATATGTGAGTTGCTGCATTCGGAAGAGACCGTAATTTTGGCTTATTATTTTAAAGAAACATGGAAACATTCTTTATTGCCTCAACATGGCAATAACGTAAAGATATGTATAGCACGTTTGAACTACTGTGCATTTATATATTCGTCCCTGACCTTTGGTTGCTTATAGTAAAGGAATTGTCCGAAAATACCAAGCGAAAAAATCCAAACTACTTCAGATGTGAATATAAATTCCTAGGTACTTTAAACACACCGTTGAGCTTCACTCTCTGCACCTCTGCTGTTTGTTCGTAGTTATTTCGATGGGGCTAAAACTCCACCCTGAACTAAGCACTTTGTTTGGCTTTTCCACAGAAACGATTATGTTTATCGGCGCCTGAATCGATCACGTGCTTAGTTTCAATATCACAGAAGCTGAACTGTTGTCCACAGCAGCTCATTCAGTTCTCATCAGGAGACAGACGCGCCGCATGTTTCAAAGACCTCGATTTTTATGCGGATTTAAAAGACTGTCAGAGCTACATCAGTATCCATATACTGTTGAATATTCCTGTGAATATTTCGACGCGATCACATCGATGCTATAGCTGAAGCTAGCTGAGGTAGGAAGCTAACAAGCTATAATCACTAGCCAGTGGCTTCGCTAACAAAACTTAGAGAAAATGTAAATGTGCTCATATGTTAAGTAGCTTTTTCTGTTATTTTTTCTAATTTTGTTTTAAACCTCTGCAAGTAGTAAAGCGTTGATCGGTTTATTATTGTTCTTGGTTTTTAATGTGTAATTTGTTATTCTGGAATTTTGGCAATTCTACTTTAATATCAAACAGTTGGATACTCGTGCTGTCAATATTTCTTATTGGTAATGATGTGATGTATGCTCTGTTATAGCAGACGAATGTTAAAGCACTTTCTCACTTTTTAAACAGATTCTCAGTCGGTTTGTTATCAACAAGACCTGATTTTTTCTTGTCAATTAAGTTATTAGGATTTTTTTCTGGTTGACAATGGAAACACCTTGCAAATTGAATAAAACTTTCATCTTTCATTTTTGGATCTGGTATTTCTTCTAGAATGGCCTTGAGCATCCCGGATGAGGTGATGATGGACGCTGCACTGATAAAAGAATTAGCTGAAGTTGCAAAGGACAAGGCTCTTCTTCAGGGAGTATTGATGAGGACCAAGGAGAGCCCAAACTCATCTGAGGTGTTTTTTTTTTTTAAATGTCATTTTAGTTGTTCTTTAGACTGTTGTTATAAACGCAGCATGTTGTGATCAAGTCAGCAGATTTGATCACAACAAATTACTGATTTGCAGACTGTTAAATCTGCTCAGACTGTTATGTCTGAGCTTCTGCAGGTGAGAGGACTGAGAAATTGTCTCAGGAAATTGTTCTGTAATTTCAAGTGATGATAAAAAGAAGCCATCATAAATTCTGTCTAGTTAAACCGTTTTTTTCCCCCAGCACAATTAGGTTTCTGCTTTGATTCCTCTTGGACCCACTGATTTTTTTTTTTTTTTTCATATATCTCCTACATCTCACAACTTTATTTTTTGTTGTTGTTGCAGTTGGTGACATACGCTCCTTTCACTCTCTTCCCTTCGCCTGTGCCGAAGTCCGTGTTCCTACAGGCTCTGGCGGTGCAGACCCACTTCAACACGTTGGTGGACAAGATCAGCCAGGATACGAACTTCCTTCAAGAGGCTTTAGCCAGGTAGGATGCAGCAGCACCGCCTGCAATTCATGGAACAAATGTTTTTATGTGCAAAGCAATGTGAGGAAACAAGGTTATTATAATTAACTAAAACAAAATAAAACAGTAATCATTAGGAAAGATTACAACTAACTGGAACTAAAATGATATTTTTTAGTGTGTATGAATGTAGACGTTAGCTTATCGAAGTTGATGTTCCCACCCCATGCACACACACAAGCGGTTTACGTCAAGTTACGTCACTATATAACCATTGGCATTTATGCTGGTCTGCAAAATGGTGACCACAAAAGTTGTAAGGAAACCAGTCAGTTGACAACAATAATTAAATAGATGTTTTGAAAATAGGATCTTCTGACGCGTATTTACTACGCGTGCTCAATTGTGATTCATAATCACAATATAATACTTTGTGATTCATAATCACAATATAATACTTTGACCTTTTTGAATTTTACACCTAAAAGTTTTGTAAAGTAAAACTACGACTATAACTAATTAAAACTAAACAATATTTAACTAGTATTAGATTATAAAATCTAGCAAACCCACTTTAAAAAATAAGTGGGTTAACTGAATTAGAAAAACAAAAAGGCACATTGAAATAAAAGTAAACTCTTAATTAAAAATCCATAAACCCAGTGGAATCATGTAAAGTCCTTCATATGTTGTTTTTCCTACCTGGTCAGGACTTTAATAGTTTGTTTGTTTTTGTTTGCAGCACAATAGAAGTGGATGATTTCACCGCCAGGTTGTTCAAGATCCACCAGCAGATCCTAAAAGAAGGAAGATCTCAGGTGTGGTTACCTTTACATGAGCAATCCTGGACAAAATTTCAGTCATTTTGCAGTGACTGGAAAATGCACCAGCTACTTCCCAGTTAAACATTGTTAAAGAGTTAAGGAATTAGATACTCACTGAAGCTCTGCTCTTTCTGCATTATTTAGTTTAAAAGTCATGAACCTTTTGTGTTTAAGATGTTAATGACTTAAGATTTTTGCTTTGTTTGCATTGGACTGAATGTTCATCACTTGACCTCAATCAGTACCTTCATCTATATATGTTCTTGTTTTTCTTTTGTGTAGTCCATTGTGTTGGGTCTCAATCGTTCTGATTACATGTTGGACCAGAGAGAGGACCAAAATTCTTCTCTGAAGCAGATAGAAATCAATACTATTGCTGCCAGCTTTGGCGGCCTTTCCTCACAAACGCCAGATGTACACAGGTAAGTTATTGCGCAGGTTTGCATATTTACTGAACAAGGATGGAAATAATTAATTTTCATTCATACTGTAGCTGGGCAGAGCTGGTAAAGTCAAGGAGAAAGGAATCTCTCAACCCAAAAAATAATATGTGAACAGAAGTTCACAAAAGGAACAAATCAAAACTAAAGTAACAAATACAATCTGTTTTAAAGTGACTGGTGTGAAAATGGGAATTTTGTTTTTTGTTGAAAGAAATTTCCTGCTTGAATGTATTTAATACATTGTTTAAACAAGACAAAAAATAACTGTTTAAAAATAGAAAAGAGGACAAAACTTGTGTAAAGATTACAGAAGGTTTTCTCCCTCTGGCTCCACAGACACATCCTGAAGGTGGCTGGGAGGCTGGAGGAGAGTCAGCGAATCCTGGACAACAACCCTGCAGCTGGTCTGGCCAGAGGACTGGCCAAAGCCTGGGAGCTGTATGGATCAGAGAGGTGACTCACTCAGATATCCAAATGCGAAAACCTGCGGTTAAAGCAGATCAAACCCCAGAGTGGACAATATAATAAAACACACAAACCCTTTCAGCTAAATATTGTATCAGTGAACTCCATGTTAGCAAAGAGTTTCAGCTGTTTATGTTGTAAGTTTTCCAGTCAGAGAACTTTATTTTTTATGATGGAAGCTGACGGTGTTACCATGAGTGTTTTGTTGTTTCAGGGCGGTTGTCATGTTTTTGGTGGAGGAAGTCCAGAGGAACATCTTTGATCACCGATACATTGAAAGTGAACTCTGGAAGAGGTCAGAGTCAGGTCATTTGTCCTGGAAGGCGGAGCTACGTCCACACAAGCGTTTTGCACTTGGAGATTAAGGGATTTCTCAAACCTGCATTAAAGAATCAAAGCAACACTCGAGTTATGTTTTTGCAAAGGGAATAACATGACAGTCGACTTTTACATAATACTGTCCCTTCAAAAACTGAAAAAACAGCAAAAAAACCTTAACAAAATGATCTAAGTTATATGATCTGCGTAAATGGAAAAATTGGATGTATTGCTCATGGTG